AGATCCTGAGGAGGGCTGTTACACCAAAACCTAAATGGGCTAACCCTTTTAAGCCTGATTACACTTCAAGCTTTCATTTTATATAATCCAACCCTAGCCCTTAGGGCTAAAGAGTTGGCCTTAAGGGCTACAACCCTTTTTTAATTTAAAAATAAAAAATATTTAAAATTTCAAAAAATTATTACTCATAAGAGTAAGTTTAGAAAAATAAATTTAAGTTAATCCACTCAACAACAAGTTTAAGTCTAATAAAAATGACAACATTATAAAATCAACTTCGATAACAATTAGACTTTGCTAGCATCGTCAACTAATTTTTGATGGATAAGAGACAGAAGAAAAGAGGGTGGTCGGCTATGTGCTTGGTTAGTTAGTTGATTGATGGATGAGGGAGAAGGAATGAGAATGACCGAATGTGGTTAGGGTTTTTTTTTATTATGTGACTATATATAGTGTTTAATTTTTTTCATATTAAAATTATCATTTTATACCCCAAAGTAGCAACCCAACCCTAAATATTTTTTAGCTTAAAAAGGTTAGCCTGATGAGTTCGGCCTTAATTGACAGCTCTACTCAAAACTGTATGATCTTCCATTTATGTTCATGATTCTAGTTTTTGTTTATAATTCTTTTGCAAGATGGTGTTGAGGATTTTTCATGTCAAAGGGGTGTATCAATTTTTTGGTCTTTTACAAATCCCTTTGTTAAATAAAGATTACAAAAAGCATCAAATATGAAAAAAGAAGCACAACACAAGCAATGCTTCACTTTTGATAAATTATACAAGCAAGAATGGAAAGATTGTTGTTTGTTTAACTCAATTCACTGCTGTTCTTTAAAACCAAATTTTGCACTGCATATCCATTCATTTAGTTATTCATTATGTTTTAAGAATATCTATTGATATTTTCATGAAAAAATAGGAAATTTTCATATATCCTTTAATGTTTTCATGAAAAATGAGAAAATTTTCATAACACACATTTGTGTTTTCATGAAAACTGGAGAAGCAGAGGCTAAGATTCCTTGTTTATTTTTTTCTGGAATATACATCGGTGTTTTTATGAAAATTGAAAAAAAATTTAGAATATCTATTTTCCTTTTCATGAAAGTTGAAGAAATAAAGGCTATGATTTTTTTCCTCCTAATTTATATGCAACAAGATTCCATAATATGCAAGATTTCTCCAAGCATATGCAATACTCTTCTACACATGTAACACTCTCCCATAGATGCAAGTTTCTTCCCCAACATGCAATGATTCTTTTTTTATATACCAATGCAATGTTTATTTTCTTATATACAATCACTCTCCTACATATACAAATTTATTTCACAACATGCAACATTTATTTCATTACATACAACTACTCTTTTGAATATGCAATACTCTCTCACAAATGTGAATTTTTCCCACAACATAAACCACTTACTAAAAGAAAAAAAAACTTTTGGCGGCAACATTGTATTGTCGTTAAAAGTCATCACTAAAATAAATTTTTAGCGACCTTTTAGATTTCATCACCGAAGGCTTTATTTATTGGTGACTTTTAATTGTTATCATTAAAAACCATTAGTAATCGAATTTTTAGTGGTGACTTTTTTAATGATAAAAAGTCGTTATTAAAAATTTTTAACGATAACTTTTGAAATTGACTTTTTATCGTATACAACGCTCTATTGGAGATGCTAATTCCACAATATGCATTTAGAAATTATAAAACCCCAGGCTCAGGCTCCCACGTGGCTTATTTTCTATTTTCGCAAAACAAAAAAGAGTAAAATAAGAAGGTGATCTCAGGGGTCAACTGGTTTGACGCATGGCGTCACCCGCCCAGGCTGACATTAATACCTGCAGGCAGCTCAGGGGGGCATTATATTTGGCAGCGGGTGCCTGAATTATTGACTCATCGGCTGCCCCCCGATTTTTAATTAATTATACTTTTTTGTTGTTGATAACGTTCACTGCTCCTCCTGCTCACTCCCGTTCTTCTTCGTGAATCCAGTATCCACACACTCTTGCTCTCCAACCTCATCCTTCCATTATCATAGTGCATCCACGGCCTTGCTATCTCATGATGGCTCTGTACGCACAGTGCTCAAAAATTGATTTGTGATTTCAGCACACCTGACATGATCACCGTTAGTGATCAACGTCACAAAACCACAAATTTAAGGGAGGAAAAGGACAATATTAAGAAAATCACAATGACAAAACACCATGCACGCACGTGCTGAATATGGAGGTCCAGCGTGAGACAGCGAAGCGTTGAGGGTTGGAATGGCCAGGATTTTTCTCCCGGGTGGCCCTTAACTGTGAAACAAGTGGCGGATTCCAAGGAGACGAGGACCAGAGAACTGTCTAGAGTGGCAACATCATGCAAAGACACCGCTTCTCCACCTGTTCAGCCTTGTGCGCGCCATTGTATATACTCTACTACACCTTAGTATCACACGACACTCTATAGTCTATCCGGAGAGTGGGGCTTTTTTTTGGAATGGCGAGTAGAATTAATATCAAGCGACTTGCTTCCTAGTCAAACTATTTAACTAAAGCGTAGGCCCCCGATCGGCTTGCACTGAATGACTGCATCGCATTTTTTAAAAAGCAAAGCCAGTTTACGTTACTTGTATTGGCTCCGTTGCTAAATAATAATGTGGATTGTTATTTTATTAGCTGACTCTGACAAGACAGACAAATCAGAGATGGCGGTTGAGGGAGATTCTGGAGTTTCAACCGACCCTCTTCCATTTTCTATTAGATAATCCAGTCCCGAGTCCCGCCGAGAATATTATTGCATGATATTTATAATTAGAATTAGAACCGGAAGGGGCGGCGCGTGTAGATAACATGAATATTATAAGGTGCTCCCGAGTGGCCGTAACGGAACGGTATTTGATTTAGTTTTTGGACAGTTCATGATTAGCCGAGCAGTTGAGATTCTCGGGGGCCGACCCTCTCGGCTATTCGGGAAATGACAACCCGGTTACAGAACGTCAAACGTCGGCGCTCTCTTCCTCGATCTTCATTATTAATTTATTATCAGGGGTAATTTCCTTGCATGGCTCGTGCCCGTCCTTTCTTTCTGGAATCCAATACCATTTCCGTCTCTATACATTGATTATTGCCAGTTCATTGGAAAAAAAAAAACGGTGTTATGTATTATATAGTTATACAGTAGATTTAGGAACTAGAAATGGATCAGCGCGAATAAGAGAATCCAATTACGATCACCCGGGCAGATGCTCTGAGATACGCTACTACACGCAAGGAAAAGTCAATAGAATCTTGCCAAAGATCCTCAACCCATCGTTGATTAGGGCCTTGATCCTGCAGAGAAAGATTCAAGAAGACGGTTATTAACAGAAAAGAGATGGGGGGCATAGGGTGGGAGTGAAAGTGTGCCGAGTCAGAAGCGACAATGTTGACCAAATAAAGGATGGAATTTCCGACATGCAAGTGTAATAATACAAGTAGGATTACCGGTGACTGGAAATAATGGATGGACTCGGTAGAAGGAGACGAGAGGGAGCTGGATTCGGGAGGCGTAAAAGGATACTGCCCATATTTAATTTGAAGGAAAAATCTAATAAGAGATCCTGAGCGGTAATCTCGTTAATTATTTGCACCTTCCTCGTTCTTGCATTCTGATTTTACGTACGAGGGAGACGGAGTGAGATCTCTCCGGTTTCAGTCCAGCCTATTGAAGGTCCGCTCCCACGTGGCCCCGCATCTTCGAATCCACAACCATGAATCCACGGCCATTGCTTATATCATACTCCCAATATCTATCTCCTCCCATTTTATTATTAGATCTCATATGTTCGTCTGCCCTCTTTTTCTTGTCTTCCCTCGCCCACCCCAACAGATCTTCCGAACGGTCTTTTAATTTCACGCGATCCGATTTCATTTGATCTCTTCTTTCGTATTTCAATTCAACTGATCATATCGTCATCCCTCACGGAACCTATACTCATATGATCATACTCTTAACTATTCTCTCTCATTCTTTTCTGTACAGCCAGCAGACTTCGAATGTGGAGTCTATATCTGCCACCATTCAAAAAATAATTTCAGCGCCCTCCCCTGCTGTAACCATCGATTGATAGCCTTGCTTGTTTACAAATAACAAATATTAACCATATATTCAACCAAAGACTATATACATGCATCTCCGCCCGCCTATTTCAATACTAATTGGCAGCAACAAAAACAGTAGTTCAATCCAAAATTAAGACAACTAATTTTTGGTAGAGGTATATCAATGTTTATCTATGACAAAAAACCATAAGTATACAATGCACGTACATCTACACAGCCAAAAGGAAAATCATGTGTAAATTTGTTCTAAAAAAATTATATCACACTATTAATTCAAATAATTGTAGAGAAGAATCCCAATTACTCATAAATTAAGTATTATATTTAAAAATTAAATATTTTGTTTGTAGTTGAGATTTTTGAACTTACAAGTATTTGGATTGCATTAATATTTATAATTTATTTTATTATTAAATCTATTTTTTAGGATCTAATTGCCATTCTTTTATAGCCAAAATAAATCTTCCTGTGTACTCATGATGTGGATTTTTTTTTTTAATTTTCGACCTGATGCAACTAAAATAGAAATTAATCATACATCGGGGGCCCGCATGGCGCTGTCCAGCCATATATGCAATGCAAAATTTATGATTGTTTTTCAATAAAAAATAAAAACCCACCAGCATTCAAAGTACATAAATCAAGAAACCTTACTTCGCAGGTTAGGATTTAAAAATAAAAGGGATAAATATTAAAATATATATATATATTTTAAAGAGACAAAAAATATATAATATTTATATAATGTAAAAAAAATTTAAAAAATTTGGGGCGGGGGGGCCACGGGCCTGCTCGTCCCTAACCTCCGCCAGTGCCACGGCTACAGGCCTACCTTATAATCTTATATATACCCCAACGCTCTCGCCTTTCTCTCTCACCTCCTCCCCAAGTCCTCTCACCTGTTCGTTACTCCCCATCGAGAGGCCCCGTGTACGACCGAGAAAACCATTCCATTTCCAAATTTTTGTGTATCACAACTCACAAGAATTTTGAAATTCCACAATATGCCTTCTTCTACACCCTCTCTGGTTTCCAAATGCACCGTTTTCCCTGACCGGAACTCCACTATCGGAGACCTCAAGCTCTCCGTCTCCGACCTTGCCATGCTTTCCTGTCACTACATCCAGAAGGGTTGCCTCTTCAACCTTCCTCCCGGTTCTCTCCCTTTTCATTCTTTCATTCCTCTCCTCAAGTCCTCTCTCGCTCGCACTCTCTCGCTCTTTCCTCCTCTCGCCGGCCGCTTGAAGACCGATTCCGATGGCTATGTCTTCATCGACTGCAACGATGCTGGCGTCGATTTCGTTCATGTCACTGCCACCGGATTCTTCATCCACGACCTCTTGGCCCCGCCCGATGTCCCCGAATCTTTCAAGGAATTCTTCGCTTTTGACAGGAAAGTTAGTTACTGCGGTCATGTCAGCCCGATTTTGGCTGTTCAGGTCACCGAGCTCGCAGACGGCGTTTTCATCGGCTGCTCCGTCAACCACGCCGTCACAGACGGGACCTCCTTCTGGAATTTCTTCAATACTTTCGCCCAAGTCTTCAGAGGAGTCGACAATATTTCCAAGGTGCCGGACTTCCGGAGGGAGTCCGTTCTCATCTCGGAAGCGGTGCTCCGTTTGCCAGAGGGTGGGCCCAAGGTCAACTTCAACGCCAACGGACCATTGCGGGAGCGAATTTTCAGCTTTAGCCGCGGAGCAATTCAAAAGCTGAAAGCCAGAACAAATAACAGGAGGCGGACAGGCAACCATAACGGGGATGTCATTAATGCTTTAGAGCTGACGGGGAAGCAGCGAAACGATCCTTTCCAGGAGGAGGACAGGATAGTAAGGTCCAGGGTCAAGAGTGCAGTTGCTGAAACGGGGGAGATATCGTCGTTCCAGTCGCTTTGTGCACTACTGTGGAGGGCGGTAACGCGAGCCAGGAAGATGTCAGCGTCGAAAATGACAACATTCAGAATGGCGGTTAACTGTCGGCAAAGGCTGGAGCCCAAATTAGATCAGTACTACTTCGGGAATGCGATTCAGAGCATACCGACGTACGCGTCCGCAGGCGACGTAGTGTCAAGGGATTTGCGGTGGTGCGCGGAGCAACTGAACAAGAACGTGAAGGCGCACGACGACGCTACGGTGAGGCGGTTCGTAGAGGAGTGGGAGAGGAACCCGAGGTGTTTCCCCCTGGGGAATCCTGACGGTGCATCCATCACCATGGGGAGCTCCCCGAGATTCCCAATGTACGACAATGATTTCGGGTGGGGCAGACCCGTAGCGATTCGGAGCGGTGGGGCCAACAAATTTGACGGGAAGATCTCGGCTTTTCCCGGCAGGGAAGGCAGCGGGAGCGTTGATCTGGAGGTTGTGTTGGCGCCCGAAACCATGGCGGGACTGGAGTCGGACTCGGAGTTCCTGCGATACGCGTCGTCGTTTCTGTTATGATGTGTTTGACCTGGCTGCGCCTGTTTCAGCATGTGGAATTCGTATTTTTAATTTAATTTTTGGTCTGTGTACGTACTAATGTCTAATAAGTGTTGTGGTTATGCTCTACTCTCTCACCACGCCTCTGTACTTATATTTTGCCCTTTTTTTTTCCTCTGTAACTCAAATAGTAAACTTCGTCGGCACTTAATCTTAACTTCAATTATTGACATTTAATTATGTTATGAGATAATAATATTAAATCATAAATAAATGAATTTAAACTCTTAGAATTTAATGTAGAAAAAAATATTAAAATATTTCTCTTATCTTTTTAATGTTGTTCTAAACTATTCAAGCGAAAGTCTTGCTAGCTTGAATTTATCTATACAATAGTATAATGTATTAAAATGTGAATAATTGAAGCCAAGGTCCAGGAGTGAGAGAGTAGATAAAACGAGGAGAGGAGAATGGATTGATAGAAGGCAAGAAGTCTGATTCGTGGGTCTCGGGATTATGCACAAGTTCGCGTTCGTCGGATTCAATCGGAATAACTTGTTTTTGGTGTCAAGGAGGATTGACAAAAGAGGAAGAGGCCACACACCAGAGACAGTCTAATCTTCTGGAGTTAATAATTGGCAGGATGGATTAATGAATAAGGCAGTAATCAAATTGTGGTCACACGCGGAACTTGCTTCGGTTTGACCTCTCCAGGAGGCTTATTACATGAGCCCTTTCTACTTCTATATTTTCTTTCTTCGGCCAAACTTTCTACTTTAATTCAACTCCCCTCTTTTCCGTTTTCACCCAATAAAGCCCTTTGGGGTTTATTATCGAGGGCTTGGTATTTACAAGCAAGCAAAAAACTACCTTCTCTCCCTTCCTCTCAATCTTGTATCACCAGCACGATGCCCGCTTAATAAGACTATTTTTATTTCACATACTTGTAATTTTTTATTACTCCTTCTTTTCTTTCACATGAATCTCAATTTTAAAAAACACATAAATCAAGTAAACATTAAAGAATTAAAAGTCAAAAATACCCAACAACTTTCTCTCCAACCGAATATCCTCAAATAAAGAAAGGTGTAATAATTTTCAAGAACTTATTATAATGAATGCAACGTTTTTCATTCTACTAAATTTACTTAATATTCATTAACGTTGAATATAAAAAAACAAATATAAAGTGCAAAAATACTCAAAAAAATTTTCTCTAACAACTTTTAATATTTTTAAATTAACAATATTACATGAATATTCATCAACTTTATAAAAAAAGTCATATAGCCAAGTTTGGCCATAATAACTAGGGCTTTTGGGTTGGCCCAATACTCAAATTATTAAATATTATTTTATTTTTTATACTTCTACTTTTTATCTTAAAAAAATAAAATTTTTAATTTTTATCTTATTTTATTTTATTAATAATAAAAAATTTGAGTATTTGGGCAACCATCACTCAGATTTGCACTTAGCTCAAATTTTTTTTGAAACTTATTCGAGAAATTTTCTAAACTCTCTAGTTCAATCCTAAAATTTTTTAAGTTTATTCAAGTTGGTATACGGAACATAGCTTAAATTACTGACTCTAACATTTCTCAATCAGTTAAAATAACTTGACACTAACCATAAAATTCCAATAATAAAACTTAACAAGTTGAGAAAGGTTGGCATGTTATATAAAATTAATGGGTATCCATAAATCATTATTGATTTTGGAATACTAGGAGCCCCTAGAGAAAAAATTATGAAAATTTTTGTGCCTTATATTTATTTGTTGTTTTTTTAGCGGTTAATGTTAACAAACGTTAATCAAATTTAATGGAATGGTGATTATTACACTCATTATAACAAGTTCACGAGTATTTTTATTCATTTGTTCACTTAAGGATATTGAATGTTCCTAAAAGAATTGTTAGATATTTTTACCCTTTAACCCAATATTAAAATGCATGTAATATATAAAAATTAGTTTTTTTTTCTTTTCATTCTTACACTCCATTAAACATCAAGGAAAAGAGTGCATTTTTAATGAAATTATGTATCTAATGAATTAGTTAATTGTCTTTAAATTAATTAATACCATTTTTTATATCGATCTATCCCTATTTAATATATTGTCGATCTCACTCAAGTTAAAAGTAAATATTTGAGTGGTTCATTAGGTATTTAAAAAAGACTTATTCAAACTAAAACTATCTTATATTTTGAATAAGCAATGTTTGGAAAAATGCTTTTTACATTTGCAGGGAGATGGCAGTGGGTGAAGGGGACGGATCCGGGATTAAGGCATGTGTGGATGTTGAGGAGCTCTGAGGACGGAGGGGGTGAAAGCGAAAACCCTCCGGACAATACGCATCGTCCAAACAATCCCTGCGAATAGCGCCAAAGAGACCGCCGAGGCGAGGAGACACCGTCCAGTCCTGGCGAGGGATAGGATTTGTGCGGAACTATGAATGCGTTTCTGTCGGATGTATCTTGGATGGCAACTATCACATTGATCGGATTTGGATGCGCTTCTTCATAATAAAACCCCTCGCCACTGGAATCACATTCATGCACGAAGGTACCTTCTCTAGCCAAAATCCCAAGTTCAGATGTACTTCGCTGCACGACGCCAAGGTGGATGCAAGTGTCGACATTTAACGTCATGAAAACAACACAGATTTACAGTGGATTTCCTTGACCCTGAGATATTCGCTGGAGAGCCCAATTAAAGGTCACTCATGGATTCAACACCGGCACAGGCCACAAATCGAACATGAACAGAGATATGAAATTTCATGAATTGCACGGAACCAATCAAGCAGCTAGAGAAACCATGACAGCTTGACGAGAAGAAAAGTCCAAATTGAGCAGCTTAGCCCATTTGCACGCCAGAGGAAGGCTACAATTTCGCTATCCCGTCGACATATACAATATTTATTCTTTTGTGCATCTCGGACAATCCAAACAGGCTACCTCGGTGCAACGAACCCAGCGAGTTGAGTTCATAGCACTTGTATATGGAAATTAAATGACGGTAGCGTATACCTTTCATTTTCAATTCATATGGGACTTTTACCGCCCACCCTTTCATGTACCTGTCCTATTATTCAACATATTAATACATAATAACATTCCTACTTTCTGAATTCTCCTACTCCAGAGCGGCCACGGCTCCCAATTCCGGCCATTTTTTCAAAATCATCATTTGAGCAACCTCTCAATCCCATGTGCTTCCTCTGCCAATTTTATACATCTAAAATCACTTTACATTCTACATTTAAGCATAATATAAATATGTCCAGATAATTTAATTTAGGGTAAACATAATTTTTAATCTTTATACTTTATTCGCATTTTGTTTTTAATCTTTATACTTTTTTTGATATTTTAAATCCCTATACTTTTGTTTTTTATTATTTTTTATTCCTTTATAAGCAAACTATAGGGATTTGGAAGGACCTAAAATAATAAAAAATAAAAGTATAAGGACCTAAAATAAAAAAATATATATATATATATAAAGATTAAAAGCAAAATGTGAGTAAAGTACAGGAACTGAAAGTTATAGTTACCCTTTAACTTACATTAATTCTACAAATCATATTGTATGTCATAATTTCTCCTCAATTGCACAACCATCCATGGATAATTTCATTTACTATTCTCACTGTTAGGCTTGACATCTCGGCTAATCTCAGGTGGTTTAAATTAATTAATTACCTATATAAAAGTAATTAATGTGCGATAGATTTTATAGGATATTTGATGAAACTCTGGAAGGATAGGAGGTCTTGTGAACTAGCTTCCTCTATTGCTAACTTAAATAAACTTGGCGCGAGCTTAATTGGATGGGGGCAAAAAAATCATTCAGCTTGATGTTGATCAAGCTTTTCGTTACTGAAAAATATCATAACTCTGGATTTCGTCATGCTGCTTAATTATGTACCTTTGAAACTGCTGTACTTTTCAACCTTGTTCCCTGTGTTGGATTTCGAACAAGAGACGTTTTTCTACGTTCCTTCCTGTTCAGCTCGATCATTAGTGAGAAATACAATTCCATTACAAGCTCAGTTTAACATGATTCTTACGCTCACCCTAAAACCTTGCTGGGAATTAAGATCAAACACCAGTGACTGGGATAGAGTAATGGTGAAACTTGTATTCAATCCGGGTGCTCTTAGAGCTCTGAGCATTATATTCTAGCCCCAGATTTTGAATATTCCAACCTTTCATGTTTTTTCAGCATCTGAAACCAATCGATCATATTTTAAATATAAGAAGGACGTCAATCACAGAGGAAGAGTATATCTATTTTCTCCAGTGCGGTAAGAACTCAACAAGATTCGGAGTATAATGGAGGACACATGTCCACCTTGTTAATCAAGTTGGCGAGTGCAATTACACTTCTGCAGAGAGATGTTAAACAATCTAGAAGGTAAATTCAAACCCCCGAAAAAGCAAAAAATAAATTTCAGATTTAACATGGTTTTATGATACTAACCGGCAAGGGCCCTGATCTGGTCAGATCAGCAACATTGACACAAAACGGCGGAAAACAATAATGGAGGAGACCACATCACGCCAAGCAATACGTATTTCTTGAATGTCTTTAGTCATAAAATGCTAAATAACAACGCCAAATCTGCATTTACCACGAGATACTGACCTGTAGGCAGCACAGAATCTTGTGGTTCAAGGGAAGCTTTCTTGCATCCAAATCTCTCCGGGGCTGCGACTTCTTCACTCATCTGCATGAAGAGTGAAAAAGCTGTCTTTTTAACTTCAAAACTGTTCTGAAATTACCATTATCAAATATTTTTTTTTTGTGTGTTCGAAAGTAATTTTTTAAAAACATAAAATTGAAAGCCCAATCAAACCAATGTTATTGTTGTTTTGCTTTCAGAAGTAGTTTTTTAAAATCATTTTGCAAAATGGAAATTTTGCAAAATGGAAAACAAAATCAAACAGTCTGCCGATTTGGGCTTTTCTTCTCGGCTGGACAATAAGGGCCCAGCCCATTCATTACAGGACTCATCTCCGTTTTTGTCCTTGCTTCATTGTGTCTCTCAGCCAATTGAGCCCGGATATCTTGGGACCACCATCGTTCTTCAGGTCACCCAAATTGTCATCCTCAGTTCACCTTTTTGCGTTTTTTTTTATTTAAAATTATATTTAAGTTTCACGAAAAGAAATTTATTATCAAGGTCTTATAAATTTTGTAAAATATTCTCTAATCTCAAATTTTATATATTGACAATGTAACTAAGGCCCATAACAATTTGGCAATAATCATTTGTAACTTTTTATTACAAATTGTCATTTCTTTTTATAAGTTGTAAACAGCCGTTATTCATCATTGATACTACTGGTCAAGTTGTCAATATGCAGAATTTAGGATTTAAGAGTATTTTATAAAATTTATAGGATTTCTCAAAAATAAACTTTTTTTTGGGACCTGAATGTAATTTTTTTTTTCAGGGACTCTTGGCACAGTAATGATTGTACTATTTTTTAAATAATTACTTACATTTTCCTTATCATAAAATTTTTTCAATGATCAATTAACTTCTAAACTTTGATGGTAAAGCCACAACTTGCCATACTGTGACATGAAGGACTTGAAGGTGGTGGTAGTCGCCAATTATATTTGAGTTTAATCCTAATAACTGTTCAAATTTTTTAAAATTAGCAGGTAAAATATTAAAATTTACTATACCTACATATATTTTTTTTAGGTGAGAAAGGACATTTGTCAGAACTCAGGCACTCACAAAAAAAGATCCATCAACATGCCCACTTCCCACCCAACCCATGTTTCTTTATTTCTCACTGGTACACGTATCAGAAAAACCACCGTGCGAAATTAAGTGAAAAGCAATTTTAGAATTGAAACAAATTCTATGATATCCTTATCTATATCCACCAACGGGCAGTTAATTATTAATCACAAGATAAATAAATATAAACGTATCTGACAATTAAAGGAAATTTTCCAGCGAGAAAGTTGAGCTTACGGCGGCCACGAAAACTAGCGTTAGAGCACCGGCGTTGCTTTTCATTCCGACAAGAACAATAATTGGGATTATACAGAGAGAGATTTAATTTGCAAAGAGAACAAGGAACGACATTCCCAGCTTGGTGTTCAAACTATTGTGGTGCGCGCAAAGTATGGGTCGTCTCGTCAAATTCAAAGAACAGGAGGAAGCAGACCCGAGGCAGGAGACATTTGCGATGCCAAGCACGGCAAGCATTAATATGTTACCATACAATGTACATGCACGTTCCCAGGCGACATCTCTAACTTCATTCATAACATATCCAACGCACATAAAATCAAGCATTATTTGGAATACGGAAAGCACGTGTTAGAGAAAGCTCAAGCGGAGGTCCAAGGGAGGTTGCTCCGTTGATTCGCCGGTATGGTCCCTGCAATTAGCATGCACCCTCAGCTTCCCCATCTGTGATTCTCCCAACGAGTCCAAGGGGAAGAGTTGAAGCGTCTCCGGCGCCGCTGGATTCCCACTACTCTCTGATCAGCCGAATATGAACACAAACAAATTAGGGCATGAAGATGAAAAGAGGGGGGGTGGAGATTGAGATAAATAATTAAAGTACTTGGTGAAGACGATGAATTGCGACGTCGGAGGCGTTCGCGGGCTTTATGGTTCTGGAACCAATAGAAGACATTCTTGCTCTCGATGTGGCCGTAAAAGCTGAGGAGAGAGGAGATGTTCTGGATCTGGTCGGTGGTGGGAGTTCGGAGACCAGAGGCGAAGAGGTGAGTCAGAAACCTGAGCTGGTCCGCTGTGGGATTCCAACGCCCGCACTTGGTCCCGCCGCCGTCACTCCCACAAAAGCCTGACATCCTTCCCTCTCCCTTCAACACATCTCTCCCCTCCCCTCCTCCTATTTATGCTCCCTTCTCCTCAATCATCTTCTCCCCCCCCCCCCCAAAAATCAAAATTAACTCCTGTTCTTACTAGCTAACCAATTAATTAGGGGTTTATCAAATTCTTAATTATACATGTAACAGCCTGATTAGAAAGGATCCTGGCCTTTTTTTCCCAGGGGATCATGCTCTTTAATTAATCTCTTTGTGTATTATAAAATACAAGAAAAATTAATCATTTTATCCCTTTGCATTCCTATAGTTTGATTTAGTTAAATTTTGCATTGAATTTTGACTTAGTTAAAACTTAGTTTTTATAGTTTTGACTCTTACAATTTAATTCTTAATATTTTATTTATTTAAAATGCTAGTCCGTGCATTTTTAAAAATAAAATTATGAAGGAAAAAAATGTAATATTAAAGCTTAGTGACAAATGGCTAATATAAGGACAAAGTTCCAGCTGAATCAAATCATAGAGATTCATTTTTTTTTTTGAATTAAAGTTCAAGAATAAAAAATATAGATACCAAATGATTTTTTTTTCCAAAAAGATATTCTATAGTCTCACAACAATTCATGAAACATAAACAGCATGGCTTAGTTCAGATTTTTTATATGTCGAAGTATGCGATCGTATCTAGTTCTCCCCTCAAAGTTATTTTTGCAGGGAGCAATAAGACCGGCCATATGTTTGTAATGCGTGCGTCTGGTTTGAACTTTGCGAACGTGGGATTGAACAATATGCGGATTTGATCCCGGACTAATTATAATGAGTCTAGTATTTTGTGCAGAGAGGTGGAAATTGGAGAGATAAAGACATGCGTATAAAAACAGCGACTGTTCAACGCTTCGGTCATAGAGCAGACAACATGTAAGTTTCACTGATTCTTGTTAGAGTCTAGTTTATTTTATTACAAGATCCGCACTTCAGATTTTAATATACCTCCTCGAGTTCATCTGCTCACAGACACAATTGTGTTTTTCAGTAAAGTATGCGATTGCCGCTCAATATTATATTCTATGTACTTTGTTGCCTTTATAATGTGTGCTCGAGTAATCTATAGTCTAAATTACTTTACATCCATAACGCTTGGACATAATGATAAGAAAAATCCAGGACCATCAGGACGTGTGAGGTAAACCGAACTTTGTTTTTAAAAGAAGCGGCTGTATGCTAAAGAACATGTAGAAATGGTTAGAAGGTGATATATATATATATATATATATATGAGTGATTAAGTTTGAACATTCTCAAAACATGCATGACATGATCGCCAAAATTAAACTTAATGATGGCATGTGAAAGATATGATGCCGTTTTCCTCTACAAAGTTAAATTCAGTTCAAAATGGTAATTTATAGATGAGATTATTGTAGAGAGTGCATACGTGACTATGAGTTTGAAAATCAATGTCTCCCGTAGTAAGCAAGATTCATGCGTCCCAGTTTTTATTTTTAATTAATAAAAAAAGAAGCGATTGGTGCAACGACCTTGGATGTTATAGCATGTTCACGAGTGTGATGCTGCGTGTTGATTCATGCATGGTACTAGGGGGGTCTCCAACTCCTAGGTGCTTTCAGACTGAAGCGCCTGTTAACCTATCTGTGCATGTTACGTTACCCAAACTGTACGTGTGGAAGATCGTCCTCATCGATGTCCTCTTGTCCATCGTCTCGTCACTCTGGCAGTAAAGCATTCATTTGTTTCTGGGATTTTTGGGCCCAGATCATGAGAGATCGAGTCAAGAAGAAGAAGACATTGAAGATTGCGAGGGAGAATTTCCACTACTTTACTATAACTACATAAGCTAGTGATGAATTTATGCAGCAATATAATGAAGAGTGTGAATCCAAATCAGAGCATAGGGCGGACGTACGCCTATGTTGACTAGCATTTTGAAATTTGAACCAATAAATTTATGCCCATTGAATCATTTTCAAACATCCAGAAAAGACAACAAACGTACAACTTCGAATAATAATTCAATGTCCATGATCCATATATTTGTATATATATTTATGTATATGATATAAAAATTCTAATATAGATATAATTCAATATTCATAAATTATAAACAGTAGAACTGATAGAGTATAAGACTCAATTAATCGGGGTTAAAAGTTGAACGCGAAGGGGTGAGACAATTCCAAAAGTGGGCATGAGTGCATAGAAAGAGGGCACGCGTGAAATCTAGAGCACAGCCACCGCTTGGGATGAATGAACGTTACGTTGAACAGCGCGCGCGCACAATGCTCTCTTGAATATAATATAAGATGCTCCCTCCTGGCCCTCTCCCTATGACCGGAGGGAAGAAACGAGCGAGCAATCAGTGGGAAAATCAGAGCAGATGGGTCCCAGTGAGCAAAACAATGCGGGTAAAGTTCTGAACAGGGAGAGCTGGAGGCTGAGGTCCCTCTAAATAGTAAATATATATAAAAGGCTTGGGCGAATATGGTGAGTGATGTTGAGGGTCTCTATGTATACGTGTCTGTATGTCCCCTCCCACAATCTTAGGTTGCTATATTTTTTTCCCAACCAAACAGCGGGCGTATTTGAATAAAAGATTAACACCACTGGAGCCAGGATTCTGACCTCCCAATTATAATTAATCAATTAATTACTGTGACAATGACGCGGAGCTAAATGTTCATCCCCGTTTTCATTTTCTATTAGATTATATGGAGATTTTGCTTCATTCGTTTTGTGTAAAAGCTCGGAGGGGACAACGATGATCACAGAATATGACTGCCGCCATTCACTATCGATGATTAATTCCATTTCCATCGAGACGGAACAAATTGACCCTTCGGCTGCTAACAGGTCATTTGGGTGTATGGACAAAACATTATCAAATTCTGTTAGTTCCATAAATAACTCAGCCCTATTATGTATAATAGAATTGAGATGATGAATAAAATTGGTTCTGAACTTGAGAAATTTCACATTTCCACATGCCATTTCTTGGATTGAACGTAACCCCACACTATTCAAAGGATAAATAAGAATCAACGCTGTTCAAGACAGGAAGGGATTTATTTCCTTTTGGTTTCCAAGCACGACGTGACCAGGTTTGGTAAGGATAGAGGCGGAGTTGCTTGAGCAAGATATCCGAAGGTTCACTGAGGTGCTAGGGCAGCGACAACTTCAAGAAGCTTCACTTGTTAGGTTGCTTTGGCCCAAGAATAGCAACAAGAAGAAATTAGATTGAACCAAGGCTCACAAGGATGCGACACTCAAGCAAAGGATTGTCCAAATTAGGACTCCTTTATTTTTATAATAAACCAGGACTCTTTAAATTTGGTCTTTTGAAGCCTTTCTGTTGCTCATGCGCTACACTTTTAACTTTATTTGTTATGAATGCAAAAAAAGTTAAAAGAAAAACAAAAAAGGGGTATCTCGATGACACTATTTTTTTCTTTTTTACCACATTTTTTAAGATATACTATTTCTATCCAGCCACTGCCAAATATTTGGCCCCTGATAGAATTAATGTCAGCGGATGTGTGATGTGCTGTGGGCCTGGGGACCAAGCTAAGAGTCTCTCAACTTTTTATTATCATTATTAACACAGTAATCAGATTGTATATGTATAGCATTGGGCTTTGCCCTCATGTTTATCGAAAAACAAAAAACCGGGGGGGGGGGTTGTATGCGAATAAGTGGACAACGGTCAAAAATAAATTGTCCATAAAAATAAATGATAAAACAAATTGGGTTAAAACAGCTTTTCCTTGCACTTTCATAATTGTGGATACAGATACTCTTACTCTCACACACACAGGTACATAAATTTAAAAAAGGGGGATGATCTTGTTAATTACAAAACGTAAGTAATAAGATAAATATATCCTATGATTGTAGCTAGAATTCCATCGAGTGCTTTGAATATCGAAGGTTATGAGCCAGAAATGATTCACCAATGGTGAAATGGGTGTGCTCCAGATCTGCGTCGTGAAATAGAAGCGAGATCGGCGTGCCGGTATTGACGAGATCAGATCAGAAAGGGTTATCTTATCGATGAAGGATTCCGTTGAAGGCCTTCTTGCTCAAAATTCAATCACACATGCTTTTTTAAGTTTCTTTAACAATTTGAGTAAAAATTCAAGTGATTATTTCTCAAGGAAAATTGTGACCAATTTGATTGAGACTTTAGGTAATATGCGTTTAAAATTTTATTGGCCAACGTATGCGTCCAAGAAATTGCTAAATATTATTGTCCAAAGAATTACCAAATATCTTTTATGTTAAGGAGGTATTATTGCCCAAAAAAATGAATGAGATGGTTTAAAATCCAACTAACTTATGGGTATAGGAATTAAAATTTCGAAATTCAAGAAGAAGTATCATATGCACTCATAATTGTTGGTTTTAAAATGGTCTAATCATATAGCTTTCAAAGATAAAGATAGAATCGACTCTAATGCAATTAGAATAAAATAAATGGATATCAATGTTTTTTTTTTTTTACTTGTGCAAAAACTATAGGACAAGTAGAGGCAGTCTTTTTTGAGTCACATTAAATATATAGGATCACCTCTAGCAATGGAACTTTAAACATGGATTTGTTATTTCATGAGATATAGTTCTTTTTACTAGACCAGAGTCATTACATTTTACTACCAGTTTAAAGAAGTAGCATGCTTTTCTCCCAAAAAATAAATGAAAAAAGCATGCTGTTTAGAAGTTAGTAATTAAAATGAAAATTCAACCTTTTAACTCAATTTAATTTCAGTCAAACCTCCTAAAATTTTACAATTTCACTGCACACGTGGTAAGTTGAAAAAAAACTAAAGAGCTTAATGAAATGATTTTATCATTCCTAATAAAATGAACAACTAACATATAAAAAATAATGTCTGAGTAAAAAAAAATGTAAAAAATGAATGACCTCAATACCTGCAAGTTCTGGATAAACTGATAAAGAACCTTGCTGACCGACACGTATTGTGCTCGAGGGAACAGGACAACATTTCTTTACAGTGAGGACACTAAGAGAAGAGCTCCAAACACGGGAGATACACAACGTGTTCAGTTTCTGTTCTTTTTGAAAAAAGTTTACAGATACACAATCACAGCAATACATCAAAAGACCCCCCAGGCCATCTTCCAACTCAAAAGTGGATGAAAACCGGCCCATCCACCACCCCCGATACCTTTAATCAACATCACCCAGAAAAGAAACAAATTCCATTCTTTACATGCGCAAAAGGACATTAAGAAGACCCATCATCATGCCAAAAGTAAAAAAAAAAAAATCAAAAAAGAAACAGCGGATGAACTGACGACGACGATACCCGCAGACTTGAAGGGATGATATGATGAGCTTCAACGTTTACGAACCCTTGCACCCATTCATTAATTGGACTTGAAGGGAATGGCTCTGATCACCACCTGGTGGTACAAAGCTGCAAGAGCTGCTCCCACGAACGGTCCCACCCAGAAAATCCACTGTTCCATTACGAATCAGAGAGTTTCCATAAATTCAAGAAATTTAGGAAAATGAAAAAAATAGACAAAAGAAATTGACATACGTGATCATCCCAGCCTTTGTCCTTGTTGAAGATGATGGAAGCACCCAGACTACGAGCCGGGTTGATACCGGTGCCAGTGATTGGGATGGTGGCCAGGTGTACCAAGAACACAGCGAACCCAATTGGCAAGGGTGCCAAAATCTGTTTCGGAAAAAAATCGGGTGTTAAATTCTTGAATGTTGAGCGTGCTAGCTAGAGGCGTTGAACTGGAAAAAAAGAAGAAGGAAACGGTTGATGGGGTGACTAACGGGGACGTGGGAGTCTCTGGCGTTGCGCTTGGCGTCGGTGGCGGAGAAGACGGTGTAAACGAGAATAAAGGTGCCGACAATCTCAGCGCCCAGGCCATCCCCTTTGGTGTAACCAGAGTTCACGGCATTGGCACCGCCCCCGTTGAGGGTGTATCTGGCGCTGCCCTCAAAGCCCTTCACCACACCGGCACCGCATATGGCACCCAGACACTGCATCACCATGTAGAACAGCGCTCTCGTCAGCGACAGTTTCCTTGCCAGGAACAGCCCGAAGGTCACCGCCGGGTTAATATGACCGCCTGCGTAATTGCAGATCAATGCTAGTTACAACATGAGGTAACTTCACCTCCAAGGAAAGGGTGCGAGTACTTGAGATGGTGACCTGAGATGCCAGCGGTGCAGTAGACGAGGGCGAAGATCATGCCACCGAAGGCCCACGCGATTCCTTGAATGCCGACGGTCGTGCACTTGGACTTGGCGTTGCTCACGCCCATGACTGTCAGGACAGTGATGTAAAGGAAGAGAAAAGTGGCCACGAACTCGGCTATCCCTGCCCTGTAGAAGGACCATGATGTGACCTCGGAGGGCTCGAACAGCGGCGCCGGCGGTGGCTCCTGGTAGTCCTTGCCTCCGTCCTGGCTCTGAGCTGCCGTCCCGATGGGCTGCCTCTCCGGGAACTTGTTGGCTCCCAGCGAAACGTCTTGCTCCTTCCCCTCCATTTGCTATTCTCGTTTAGCTTTCAAGCTCCTCGATCTGTGCGAGCGTGTGCTTGTAGAAGTGAGACTGGGGCCCTGATTCTGTAGAGTGAGGGGGCTCGGGTGCGGATTTATAAGCACAACACTAAGCGGCGGGGCCCATTGGCCAAGTTTATTTAATTTATTTTATTGGCCAAGTTTATTTAATTTATTTTCTTATCTTTCTGGCCGTCCAATCATTTGCCCGTTTATTCGTTAAACTTGTATATTAAAGCTATCGATCCAAAATAATGGCAGGTCCTTAGTTTCTCGCCTGGCACCATGGCCACCACTCATTGTATGACCGACCGTTTTGATTAAAATTGGACGATATAAATTGAATATTATTTTATTTCTATATCTTCACCCTGGTTTCTCAGGCACAGAAGAAATGAAGAATGCACGCACTGGGTCCCTGCCCCACAACTGTGTTGTGCTGTTATAGTGTGCAGGCATCATCGTGAGCTTCGGGAAAACAGGGGGAAGATAACTCAACAAAATTTGTTACAAGACCCCTGATCAATTTTAATGATTATATATGATTAGTATCATTTGTCAATTATATATCATAAAAAGAAATTATTATTCTCAATCTGAATAATATCGTTTGCATAACATTAAACTAACCTAGATGATTACCAAGACCGAACCCCTAATTTAAATGACATACCAACGACACCGTCAAAACGAACTTTTCACAGGGCTAGAATTTTAGATTTATGTTGGCAGTGGACAGTGGGAACGCACAGGGGCAGGTCAATTTTAGATAACGTCATATTCTCGGTCTCTCGTGTCATGACATGGTTTTACAGTCACTCCCCCATTACATTCTCCTTAAGTCACATGCATATGCTCTTATAGACTTGCTCCGAACTGTAATATAAATCATTGGTAATAAATCCAAGCTTTACAAATAATATTAATTAAAACTTTAAATTCTTAAAAATATTCACATCTTTTTATTTATATCCTCATTAAATATTATATATAATAATCTTGATAATAATAATTAAAATTTTAATACATGATATTTTCAAAAAGAGTGATAAATAAAGTAGGAGTCTAGTTAAAAAATATAAAAATTATTCAATATCTTATAGTTTTTATCAAGTAAAGTTTCTAAAAAATACCTTACATTATATTCCGAAAGGAAAATATAAATGATAGGACTTATATATTTAACTTGTACTTAATATACTTACATTAAATCAAATTATGATATGTGAATCTTAATATATTAATTTAATTAACAACAATAATTTATTATAAAAAATAATTTATAAAAAATTAACATTTCTTGATTTAATTGAATATGAGTATATTTAGTATATAAATTTTCCCCCATATAAATCCATCAATAACGGGAACCACTCATTTTCGCGGCCTGAAAAAAGGCTATTTTTTTATTTTACGTGTTCACGGGCATGAATGAGACAATGATCAAGGCTACGATCGGGGAGAGATTATACACATGGACACACGCATATGACGGCTGGAGAATGAGTGTAAGAAATTAAACCATGTATATATATTAAAAAATAATAGAGGATTGGTTGAGAGGGAATGAGTTTTTTTTTTTAAATTGTTTCATTTAAAGGCAATCTTATTTGATGTATAATTGAGCATTAAATTAATGTGAGCAAGAGGGAATGAGTTTGGAGATAAGATTAAGAAATGCAAATGAGGGGATTGAGCAGAGTTTGGAATAAAACAAGGTGACCGGAAGAAGGCAGGGCAGAGATCTGCCTGGCAAAACATAGAAACAAGAGCGCATGCACGTGGAGTGGGAGCGGCAATGGGCCTCCCCTGCTTTCCTTCTATGATTTTTGTTTTTTTAAAAGACCACAGAAAGAGGGGGGGCTACAAGCCCACTCCAGATGATGATGAGAGTCGTGGTTACGATATAATCATAAAATAAATGCCCCTTTTGTTATTGGGTGGCCAGCACATTATACATTATAATGTTATTTTTTAATTATTGTGGGTTTCAAATGCGTGTTTTTTTCCTTTATTTAGAGGCGGGGATAAAATTCAATTCGATAAGATGGGTGTCATTTTATCACGTACTATCATACAAATAATATTCTGCGAGCTGCGTCCAAATATGGTGACACTGCCCACTGATCACGTGACGCCACGATCATTCACGACGTACCGTCCAATGAATCAGCGCCACATATACTCGCTATCACGACTCCCGGGAACATCATCTCTTCTCTCTCTCTTCTCTCTCTCTCTCTCTCTCTCTGAATTACAATGCATCAATTTACTTTAAACCGAGGAAGAAATAAGTGAAAAGCAAGCCGGCTCACTTGAGGAAAATATATCGAAACGGCAAAACCTTCCGCGGGGTGCGTGAAGCAATTATGTTGATTTCCCCTCTTCAAGCAACATCTCAACGAGCATCGCAAACTATAAATTTGTATTATAAAAAGAATTCACGATATCCAGAATTCCCTGATGGCTAGAGCGCTAATATTAATATCTCAATTCATACCACTCAAACAAAATTAAGTAAGGCAACATATATATCTAAAAAATTTATGATTGATTGTGACTCCTCAATTACTTTAAACGTATGTAGGTAAATTTCTAATCTACTACACTTCCCATGGTTTATAGAGGATATAAAGATAATGGAGGGAGCAAAGAACATAGTGTATGTTGGTTATCAATTGATCAGCTTATATGAACCATATCAATAATAAATTAATTAAATATTTAATTGATTGATTAATCTTTCATAATCATTGACTCAGTCAGTTGATAGGTAGAAAATAACTGACAACTATAAAGTTATAAGTTGGGATTTTACTCATAGAGCTTACCTGTGTGATTCACATATTACAATTCACACAAGATCATAAAGATTAATCTATTTAGGTGTATTAATTAATGCTTTTGTACAACTTGAATCTCTATTGTTATTAGCAAAGTATACTACGCTAACCTAAAACCTTTGGTAGCTCCACAAGCTCTTACGTGTGATTGCGATACATAGAGGTGATTTGTTCATTTATAGCCTCCAACCATTTAAAAGAATGCATGCTAAAAATAATCACCTGATAAGATATTGGGTTTAAATTATCAATAATATTTGAATCAAATTCCTGCAAATACATCATGTAATCGTCAAGAATAACATACTTGTAAATCCTTTGAGATTGTCTTAGTTTAACAATAAGATCCTTATCGCCCTCCAAAGACAGTTCATCTTGGATTCATCCCGATAGATATTAGCAATCGAAAACACTGGCATGGAAATTTAAACCATAAATAAATGGAAAATTCAAGAAAATGTCAATAGAAATCTATATCAGTGGATTTAAAAACATGAGGGAACAAGTTCACGACTAAACAATTTGGTCTCATAATACTTAAAATTGGGTTACTGGATTTTCACCAATGACATGCAAACGCATGAAATTAATTATTTAAATTGAGACATTTCAAATTTAATACTCATAACCATGCTCTAATGCCATATATTAACATTAGTATTTCAATCTATCCTATTCAAATAAGATTAAGTAAAGTAATATGTGTACCCAAAGAACTCATGACTAACTGTGACCCCTCAATTATCTCGAATGTAGGCAGACTCACAGCCTATTAGACCCCTATAATTTATAGAGGGTATAGAGATAATAGAAAAAGTGAAAAGCATAGTGTATGTTGGTTATCGATTGATTGATTTATATAAATCACATCAGTAACTACTTTAATTAATTAATTAATTTCTCATTATCCTTAACTTAGTCAGTTAAAAGATAGAGAATAATTAACGGCTACAAAGTTGTAGGTTTAACATCAGGTTTATTTATTTGGTCCACATATTACAGTTCACGTAAAATCATAAATATCAATATGTCTAAATTTATTAATTGATGTAAATTCACAAATACTTATAGATATTCCAACATGGCGATCTATTCTTAAATTTTTGGTAGCTGCCTATAAAGAAGGAACCACCCTTGCCGGAGCATGAATCTTGAATCTAACACTCGTCAGATTTATATTCACAACTCCGCACCGCACGTGCCTGAGATGTAAAGCTCCTTATGTTGTCAACAGAAAAAAAAAACCACTATAATTCCTACTACATCTGAGCTTACCTTTTTTTTATACTTGAAAAAAAAATTGTGCACGATGCACAAAAACCTACCAGCGAAATAAGTTGGATTCCGATATCATGTAAGCCTCGTGCATTCATGGGACGCATAAATACATCGGTCATATAGTTGGGTTGGTCTTGTCTGGATGCTATAGTCCCAGCAAAGTCATCTGTTGGGTTGCGCGATGATATCCAGCACAATTAGGCTTGGCTCGCTTTATTTCATATTCTAAATTCTTTTTTCTTTGAACAAAACATATCCTAAATTCTAACATTAATTGTTTCATGCTATTCTTTTCATACTCCTCTTGTAATATGTTTGTTTTTATGGTTATGATAGAGTTTTTTTTATTCTAATTAATTCATTTTTATTTAAATTTTCAATTTCATTTTTTAATAATAAAGGTTAATCATAAGGTATTAATAACTAATTTTAAGAAGATATCACTAAACCCTCACCTTTCACTAAACCAAACTTGGCTTAGCTTGACTGGACTTAATTCTGATCAATTTGTTCAACGGGTCGGGCAACAATTAGAGTGTAAAGGGGTGTCCTAAATTAGGACTTATTCATCAATCTAACTATAATAAAGCAAGGACTAACCTAAAGAATTATCCTACGAGAGATTAACCTAAACAAATTCTTAACATGTATTTTCACAAACGATTCAATATAAAGGGATCCCAAGTCTTTAAAATATTCTAAGAACTCATATCATTCAATTAGACATATGCGGAAGCATGATAAAGGAAATACATCAACATGGGAGAAGAGCTTCCCTCTTTATTTTCTCTCTATGCCTTACTCTATAATACATATATACATATTTACGACATAACACTTGGCCACTCAAACCCTTTCATAACTGGCAGCGGGGGGCCAAGGTCTCAATTACATTTATCACAATGAGTATTACCTAATTATCATACTCTATATA